TGAATATCAGTTGGTGGAAGCCACAGAAGGGGAGAGTGCTCTTGTGCTCAGGTCCTGTTTCTGGATTTCCCATGTGCATCTGGTTGGTCACCTTGAGAACAGGATGGTGGACTAGATGAGCAATTGGTCTGATCCAGCAGTCCCTTCTTATGTTATGTAAAACAGTTGTGGCATCCCCCCAAAAAATCCTGGGAATGGTCATTTGTTAAGGGTTCCCTGGGAAGAGGCATTGACCGTTACACCACTCTGAGAACTGTAGCTCCGTGAAGCAAATAGGAGTCTCCTCGGGTGGCGCTGTGGGTTAAACCACAGAGCCTAGGACTTGCCGATCAGAAGATTGGCGGTTCGAATCCCCGCGACGGGGTGAGCTCCCGTTGCTCGGTCCCTGCTCCTGCCAACCTAGCAGTTCGAAAGCATGTCAAAGTGCAAGTAGATAAATAGGTGCTGCTCCGGTGGGAAGGTAAACGGCGTTTCCATGTGCTGCTCTGGTTCGCCAGAAGCGGCTTAGTCATGCTGGCCACATGACCCGGAAGCTGTACGCTGGCTCCCTCGGCCAGTAAAGCGAGATGAGCGCCACAACCCCAGAGTTTGTCACGACTGGACCTAATGGTCAGGGGTCCCTTTACCTTTACCTAACAACTCACAGCATCCTTAACAAACTAGATTTCCTGGGATTCTTTGGTGGAAGCCATGACTGGAGTGGTATTGTTGGCCACCATCAGCCTTCGAGATATAATGGAGTACAAAGGAGTACAATGGAGTGCACCTCCAGGGGTGAAGTCAAATGACCGCATTCGCAACACCCTGGAACACAAGCCTGGGCGGTGTGGATGGAGGTCCTGAGCTGCCCAGACAACAAGCTCCATTTCTCAGCCTCCCCGGTGTGGTCCAAAAAAGAAGAGGAGTTTGGATTTGAAATCCTGCTTTATGACTACCCGAAGGAGTCTCAAAACGGCTAACATTCTCCTTTCCCTTCCTCCCCCACAACAAACACTCTGTGAGGTGAGTGGGGCTGAGAGACTTCAAAGAAGTGTGACTGGCCCAAGGTCACCCAGCAGCTGCAGGTGGAGGAGTGGAGACGCGAACTCGGTTCACCAGATTACAAGTCTACTGACTTAACCACTACACCACACTGGCAGAGCAATACCTTTGGCACCAGCTTGGCTGCAGCAGTTGCCAGAAGGGTTTTACCTACTGGCATATGACAGACAGAACAAATGGGATGCAATTTAGCAACAAGAAGCATAATAATAATAATAATAATAATAATAATAATAATAATAATTATACCCCACCCATTTGGGTAGCTTACAGCATATACAAAAACATAGTAAAACACCAAACATAAAAAACCTTCCTGATACAGGACTGCCTTCAGATGTCTTCTGAAAGTGGGGTACTTCTTTATCTCCTTGACCTCTAAAGAGACGGTGTTATACAGCGAGGGTGCCACTACCGAGAAGGCCCTCTGCTTGGCTCCCTATAACTTCGCTTCTCACAGTGAGGGAACCAGCAGAAGACTCTTGGAGGAGGACCTCAGTGTCTGGGCTGAGCGAAGGAAGCTCCTTCACACAGGCTGTGAAATTTGGGTCACACCAGGATAGGTAAAACCAGGCTGAGTAAAAATTGCCCACCTGTGCACCCACACTGTGTTGAAGGAACATATAGTCACGAGCCACCCCAGTCTCCAAGCCCTGCGAGATTCCAGGGATTCCAGGCAGTTACCTAGGGTTCACATTTCCTTCCCCCATAGCTGCAGCCTTGGATTCAAACAGAAATCAAGCATTGTTCTCTCTCCCTCTCTCCAGCTTGCTGCTTTGCTTCTAGCCTCTAGCTCACATCACTCAACTCTCAGCTCCCAACTCTTGTCTTTGTCCTTCTAACTACCTCGAATTGAGTGAGGCAGCCCTTCCCATTTGCCATCTCACACAGAGCCCCTTCCTTTGTTCTCTTAACGACCCATTACCTCACCAGGAAGCTAGCTTGGCTATTCCAAGAATTAGAAGGGGGCTTAGGCATTCAGCCTAACCCCACTTTTCCTCTCCCCCCCTCACCAAAAAACCCCCCTCATAAGAATATAATGACGGGTTCTCTGGCAGGTTTTTTTAAATTATTAGCTATGAGCACAAAAGCAAATAGCTGAGGACAGTCATATTGGTGTTCACATGCCCACCCAACCTCTTATTTGGATATACTAGCCAACGAAAGGACAAAAAAAACCCCACACCTGTTTTCAAAAGACAAAGGGTTTGGTTTCCAGGACTGCTAAACCACCTTGTATGCTGACAGATCCATTTTAAGTGTGCATAGTATGATACATTTCCCTTTGTTATCTGTTCCCTATAGTCATGGCAGGAACAGCTTGTACCAAAACTGTCAGTTTTCGAACAAAAAACTGTCAACGTGCAACACATTTCCTGTGCAAATATGTCACCGTGCATTTTCCTGATACGCACGTCATGCTTTTTTTTCTTTCATCAATCATTTATGGTTAGAAGAAAGTGGGGAAATAAAGTTATTATTTTCAGGTGGGGGAAAAAAAAGAAGCAAGGGTTTAGTTGGCATTCCACATTCCTCCAGGAATACAGGCTGTTGTTTTAAGACTGTCTTAGTCGTTTAATATACATTATGCATTTCATGCGGCTGTGTAAAATTTGGTTAAGGTATTACATTATCAAACGTCAAGTGACACATTTCTGGAACTGTCTACCCAACAAAGCACTGCATCCGAAAATGAAATAACTCCATGCAAAAAGGGCCTTAAGGCTATAATCTTAAAACACTTATCACTTGGTGTGGCGGTGGTGGCACTGACCGTTCATGTAATACGAATTGCTCTGCGGGAGTGGGACACATAAAAATGGGGGCCGAGGAGGGTGAGTTGCGGGGAGAGTGAGAAATGTCCCTCTTTTCATCTGAGGAATGTTGGAGGAGATGATATTCTAGGGCAATGGTTTTCACCCAGAGTGCTGTGGCACCCGGGGTGACTTGAATGATGGCCAGGGGTGCTGTGGGCAGCACTGGCCTCTGTCCCTGATTCCTTCCCTCCCTCTTCTGATGCCCTCTTGTGTCCTCCCCTCCCAAAGTCCTGCTCAGCTTTTTGTTGCAGCAGTCCTGGCTACATTCCCTAGGTGAATGACACCTCTCTTGGGGCAGCAAGGGTTGCAGCTCAGAGACCAGGGATGGTAGCAGCAGCCGCTGGGAAGACCCCCAAGGAGAGGGGAAAGGAGGCTGAGGGAACGCTTCACAAGGAGGGGTGTTCAAAAAAGTGTGAGGGGCTGTGTGGCGATCACACAGGGTCCCCGGATGTTTGACGGTCTATTGATCCCTGTGCCACCACTGTGCTCGCTTCCCCACTGCCACCAACACGCTACTCTCGGGTACACACTGAGTCCAGACAGTTATTAAAATTGAACCAAATAAACAAGTTTATTTTATAAGCGTTAACAAGTTTATGGTTTCTCAAATAATATTCTTGTCAGTTTCTTAACTTTAGTTTCTTTACCGGCCTATACCTTCCTAATACCTTCTGACTGATTATATCAACTGCTTGACTGACTCCTCTTAACAGATTCTCTCACTCTCTCACATCAGTCTAGCCCAACCCACAGACTTATCCTCTCTGTCTCTTCTCTAACTCCAGACTGACTTCTTAACAACTCTAACTCTAACTCTAACTCCTTCCCTTGGGTTCCTATTGGTTAGTCATTTTACACCAGAAGGTTGGCGGTTCGAATCCCAGCAACGGGGTGAGCTCCATCCCAGCTCCTGCCAACCTAGCAGTTCAAAAGCACGTCAAAGTGCAAGTAGATAAATAGGTACCGCTCCAGCGGGAAGGTAAACGGCGTATCCATGCGCTGCTCTGGTTTGCCAGAAGCGGCTTAGTCTGCTGGCCACATGACGCTGTATGCTGGCTCCCTCGGCCAATAAAGCGAGATGAGCGCCGCAACCCCAGAGTCGGTCACAACTGGACCTAATGGTCAGGGGTCCCTTTACCTTTACCTTAACCCTTTCCTTATGACCCAGTATGATGTCACACACCTAGGAGGGCAAACGCCATAGGTTGTCAGCTCTACAAGCAAGGAGTGACATAACTGGGCTCCTGAGCCCCACAGGAGTGCCACAGAAAGAATGTAGTTAGTTAAGGGAGCAGTAGACTCAAAAAGGTTGAAAACCTCTGTTCTAGGGCACATGTGGGTTGACTGAGCAGATGTTTGGGGCTTCCTTGTTGTCTTGTTTGAACGGAAGGTATATCTAGAAGACCCAACACACTCCTGCCCCTTCACTTTGCAAAGGAACATCGAGAGTGGCACAGGCAAGCTATCTTTCCACCAAGCGCATTCATCATGTACCGCTTAACCAGGAACTTCTGACAAAACCGTCTAACAGCTTGAAAGCCACCATCTGAAATGTGTGAGGTGCAAGAGGAAGATTCTGTGTTTCATTTGTTTACAATTTGCAAGCACTTGGGGGGATTGGCTGGCACATTTTTTAGACATACAGGTTTCAAAACCTTTTTTAATGCCAGCAGTATATATTTTTTAATGTATTCAGTCTGGGCAGGATAAGCACCGGTATATATGATCCCTGTTAATCTCTGCATCCTGACCACCAGCATCTTTGCAAACACCTTTCCTTCTGCATCTGAAAGGTGTCGCCTTTCCAGGTGTTAAGCACAAATCATCATCTCTGTCTGCTCTCCAAGTCCTCTTCTTTTTCATCACGAAGAAAGCCCATGTTGGCGATATAATAAAGTACCAATCCTAATTTTGTACAGTACATTGAATCAATTGCCTTTTGGGGAGTAATAAAGTAATGGAAAGGAAATCTTGGTTTGCAGAAATCCCCCCAGGGAAGGGGAACAAAGCCTAAAGCTCTCACCTATAAGCCAGTGGCTGTGAATGGGACTATCTTAGTTCCATTCACTTCAGTGGGAATAAGCCACATTAATGGAAAATAACTCTGGAAATGTGGTGCAGGGGTGACCTCAGGAATCAATTATTGCAAAGCTCAGTCAGTAGAGCATGAGATTCTTAATCTCAGGGCCGTGGATTTGAGCCCCATGGACAAAATATTGCAAGGGTTAGACTAGATGACCCTCAGGGTCCCTTCCAGCTCTACAGTTCAATGATTCTGTGAAATGTTCTCTGTGTGGAGCTACCCTCAGGCCTGCTTTGGTGCAAAATATTGTGGCTAGATTGTGGGTGGGGACAGATCACTTCCAACACATAGCTCCAGCACTTAAAAGCTGGCACTAGCTGCCCATCTAGAAATATAGCCTTATTGGAATTCACCTATTGGGTCTGCATTGCTCCGGGACAGGAGAAAGGAAGTCAAATGACACCAAGGTTGGTTCAAAGAAAGAGTTTATTCTGCTCTCCGGATAGCAGAAGGCACTTGCGTGATCATCCACAGCAAGTCCAAAGAAATGAGAAGTTTCATGCAGTATATATATCCTCCAGGCACCCCCTCCCTCCTTCCCCAGGAATCCAACCACGTCAGCCTATGTATGCAGGTTGACATCACATATGTTCTTGCTTTGGTATTCTTAACCATAAAAGGGAATTCCTTCCTGTACTTCTGACCATAAAAGGATCTTCCTCTTCCTACTCTTATCTTGGAGGAAGAGGTCATCATCTCCGAAGACACGCTTCTGGCGTTGTTCCCGGACTTAGGTCTGTGTGTCTTTTGTGGTCAGGACATAAGATAAGCCACTGACGTGTCTTCTCTGTTCTACTGGTGCAGTCAGGGTCATCCCTGCTGTCACAAACTGATAAAGGAGAGGGCTCTGAGCACAGACAGCTTTTTGTTTATACATTGACTCAGAGCTCAAGTTAATGGATTTTAGCTAAGGAAAAATAGGGATTTTGGTGCAATTTCAAACTGCCTGCACAGTCAGTTTTGGGTTTGGGAAACCCATTCCTTCAGTCAGAGGGCAAATTCAAGCTCTCCTAAAAAGTGAGAGACTTAAGAACGAAAAGCCTTCTGCGGAAAAATGGGATAGTTATAGACGATATGTTCAAAAATACAATAATAGTTTTCACTACGTGCTAGCATTCGAGTGATAAAGGAACTAAAAGGAGGTGGCCAACAATTAAGGATTTATTATGTTTTCAGAATGTATTGGAAAATATATATAGAAAGGTTTATTGTTTTGTGTACATTCGATTGTAAGATAAAATATGTTGAAAGGGACTTGACAGGAAGTCAAAGTTGAAGAAAATATTTTGTAAAATAAAAGGGGGAAAATATTTACTTTCATTATTATCCTTTTGTGTGTGTGTGTCTGTACATATGTGTGTTTTTGTATGGAATGTTTGGGAGGAAATAAGACGGTAAATAACAAATAAACTAAATATTGATGTATGTAATTTTTATTTCTCAATTATATTTAGTGATAGTATGGTTGTAGTGTTTTTTGTAACATAAAATCATTCAATAAAAAATATTTTTTAACAAAGAAAAGAACGAAAAGCCTTCTTATGGAGTTGCTAATCCATAGCTTTGTGATTGTTATGAGACTCCAACTCCCAGCAGCCCCAGCCAGCAGTTGCCATATTTTGAAGAGCAAAAAAGAGGACACATTCGCCGACTTCTACTTTTAACTATGGATCACTATGATGACTCTCATTTTACATACCCATGAAAAAGAGGACGTGTCCCGAAAAAGAGGACATATACTCGGCCTCGGCCCAGTATACCTGAAGGAGCGTCTCCACCCCCATCGTTCTGCCCGGACGCTGAGGTCCAGCGCCGAGGGCCTTCTGGCGGATCCCTCATTGCGAGAAGCAAAGCTACAGGGAACCAGGCAGAGGGCCTTCTCGGTAGTGGCGCCTGCCCTGTGGAACGCCCTCTCATCAGATGTCAAACCGATAAACAACTACCCGACATTCAGAAGACATCTTAAGGCAGCCCTGTTCAGGGAAGTTTTTAATGTGTAATATTTTAGTGTATTTTTTATTTCTATGGAAGCCGCCCAGAGTGGCTGGGGAAACCCAGCCAGATGGGCGGGGTACAAATAATAAATTATTATTATTATTATTATTATTATTGGCAACCTTTAAATAGTCAGGAATTATGGGAGTTGTAGTCAACATCTGGAGGGCCACAGATTAGGCATCCCAGCTTTAAAGCATGAATGAACACAAGAAGGGGCCAGTGGGGACGAGCAGGCTAGCTCCACCCTCTTCGGCCGCCATGTTGTTTACCTACCAACTGGTGGAAGATGAGTTATTGTGGCAAACTCTCCCCAAGCGGGTTTTGTTAGTGGCACATCCAGTTGCAATTCAGGGCAGCAGTAGAGTCTTCACATGATCTGTTCACGCTGTAAGCAAATTGGTGGGGAAAGGGCAAGAAAATCTGACCGTGTTGAGGCTGTTATTTGCTGGGTTTTTGTGTGTGCGTGTCCCACAGCCCTTCTCTTTTCGTACCATCTGTGACTTGAAAAGTGATCAATGATGCATACTGCTCTAACAGGGACAGCATCTGATTATTTGTTTTATGGTGTTTGCTTACTGGGACTCACTGTGAAAATGCAATTGGCGAGAGCTCGAAAAGGTTACGTGAACATATTTGGCAGCAGCTTTTACTAAGGTGATAAACATGGACCTTCTTAAAGTTTATCAGCTATAAACTCAAACGGAAATTCCTTATTCAGCTGATCCATGGATGTTCCAAGTACTGAGGCGGGTAAGAGATTTTAAAAAATGAGATTACCAACTGATTAAAGTACCTTACGGTCAAGGAACTCTACTGCTTCAACAGTTTTGTTTTTGCTGATAACATTGCTTCTGCAGAAGTGCCAATAAAACCACAGGAGTGATTTGACCATCCTCACTAAACTTCCACAGCTCTGTGTGTGAACATCTCAGGGGCTGGGTGGGAAGAAGACAGGGTAGGAGAATGTCTCTACTCATAGTACAGGGGTGGAATGACTTCTTATTGTAGTGGATGATCACTATGCTAATCTTCTATGCTGTTAGCATTTGTCTGTCTGGAAAGACAGTGGAGTGTACTTCTGGGGGGTGAAGTCAAACTACTGCAGAATCACAGCCAATTTATTAACCTGTGGCCCTAAAATTCAGGATCCCCCCCCCCAACTGATGCCAAAGTTTTGTGCTAGTTTTGTGGCTTCCAAATGTTGGCATCAGATTGGGGGGGATCCTGAATTTCAGGGTCACAGGTTAATGAACCTAATTACTGTTAAATAGTGGGTAGACATAGCAGACGACACGGCAATTTCTCCAAAGCAGCTCTTTATTTGTAAGCTGGAACAGAACTGCAGCCAGCCTGCTTTTATAGGCAGCCGGCTGTCAACATTGTAGCAACAACAACCCAGGGTTTCCCACCTAAAGTACCGTAACTGACGTGTACCTGAGTGAAAACTATATACAGTGGTACCTCGGGTTAAGTACTTAATTTGTTCCGGAGGTCCGTTCTTAACCTGAAACGGTTCTTAAGCTGAAGCACCACTTTAGCTAATGGGGCCTCCTGCTGCTGCCGCGCCGCCGGAGCACAATTTCTGTTCTCATCCTGAAGCAAAGTTCTTAACCTGAAGCACTATTTATGGGTTAGCGGAGTCTGTAACCTGAAGCATATGTAACCTGAAGCATCTGTAACCCAAGGTACCACTGTACACAATACTTCTGGTGGCCAAGGTGAGAACTTCAATACATAACAATTACAGCACCCACTGCGGCTGCAGAGACCGCATTGTAACTGCTGCCTCCCATGTTGTTTTTGCTGCATTAGCAGCATCAAAGTAACATCTCCAGGGTGCAATCCTGGGCAGGGTGTATGGAGGTCCTGGGCTACCCAGCTGACAAGGTAGACCCCCCAGCCTCGCTGATTGTGGTCCAAAGGAAAGCAGAGCAATAGCTTTGTCAACAGCTTGGCTGTAGGAGTCACCAGAAGAAGATGTACATTATTATGCACTCCACTTTGGATTTGTGTAGGGTTTACGCCGTAGGCTTTTCTTGTCTTGAAGATATGCCGCAAGACAGTGGGTATGGATTTTCCCTTGGGGTTTAGTCGCAAAGCCATTCTCACTGATGTGTTTTCCTTCTCCTAGGTCTGCCAGAGCCTGTCTTCGCATGCAGGGCAAGTCCCTAACTCACTTAAGGTTTGAGACCCATTGGCTACCCTCACCTGGTTTAGCCAGCCAGTCAAAGTCATTTCCCAGGATGTGACCACTGTCACATGCTGTCAGCATCTAGGAGCCACAAGTGAATGCTGAGTACAGGGTAGGGACCAAAGGTGGACAAACTACCCCAGGAGCATGACGTGTTCCCCACCAGAGGTACTACCCTGCCCCTAACACGCCATACACACTCCCCCAAAAAGCCTATGACACTCGATATGCCCAAGTGGTCTCCCATCCAAGTTCTAACCAGGCCTGACCCTGCTTAGCTTCCAGAGTGTTCAGGGTGGTATGGCCATAGACTACCTAGAATATACCACTTGCCTATTGTGACCTTGTATCCTGCTGTTGTTTCCATACCTAAGCATATGAAGACAATGCTTGAGATGAGTGAGGTACAAAAAGCTTATTTCAAGTCTCTTATTCTTTGAGGTGCCGCAACAAGCACCTTGGACGTTTGGGTTGAATTATTGTTTACTGGCAATTTTCCATGTCTTGCAAGGAGGACCTACCTATCATTTGGATCATCATTAGTATAGTAGTAGGGGAAATTTATTGGTCGCTTGCCACATAAATAGTCTCCAAGTGACACGCAATGTTCTAAGAGCATAATACTTAAACATAAAATCAGAAAAAGAACAATACATTACAATAAAAGTCCTACAGTAACCTATAAAATAGACCAAATAAAACAGCAGCAAACAATTCGGCAACAAAAGCATGCCATCAACATGACAGCAAAATCATTTACATCCATTTTCTTCAAGCATCTGGAAGCGGCAAATACTGAAATATCGAAATTTCCTTATTGCAAATCATGACATATTCGCCTAACAGCTTATTGACTGTCCAGCTTAAATCTCGCTGCAAGTAGATAAGTGTACACAGTTTCCATTGAACTCAGTGGAACCTACTGTGTACACAGAGGGGCAGAGAAGTGTGTGCTTGATTGCAGCAGTATGTATTCTTCCATCTTTGACACCCGCTGATACATTCATATGGGAATTCTAGATTGTCAAGGCTTTTCCTTTCTCACACTACTACTGTGAGCAATATTGCACCACAAAAATGTTCCTTCCAATATTTTTATAGGATCATAGAATTGTAAAGTTGGAAGAGATCCTGAGGCTCATCTAGTCCAATTCCCTGCCATGCAAAAATTTGCAGCTGTCCGATACAGGGATCAAACCTGCAACCTTGTCATTATCAGCACCACACTCTCATTTATTATTCTGAAGATGACTTTGATGCATATATCCAGTGATTGAGGAGACCAATCTGTAAGTCAAGTACACACACACACACACACACAGAGAGAGAGAGAGAGAGAGAGAGAGAGAAGACTTTGATTATCCAGGATTTACCATAGTTTTGTGTACATTTCTAAAACAGGTGCTCATCTCCTCCAGTATTTAAAGGGGTTCTGAAAAGCTCTTTTCAAATCAAGGGATGGGATTCCATTTCATAATTATTATCTAAAGGTTTACAGTGCCATCTTGTGGGAGAAATCCGATGTTAAAATTGTAGGTAACGCCATCTATGAAGGCTTTATGAGCAATGGCCTGAAGGGAACAAAGTGAAGTAACAAGTAGAACAGTTTGAAACTAAATATCACAAACCTTGTATAATGCCCTATAAAATTATAATCCTTTGAAAGTATATTCTATGCAACATTTGGGCAAGCATTGGGACTATTAGTATTACTTATTACATTGACGTCACACCTTTCCTCTGAGGAGCTTAGGGTGGTATACATACTTTCGCTCCCCAATTTACTCTCACAACAACCTGTGAGGTAGATTAGGCTGACTGGCCCAAGATCACCCAGCAAACTTCTCAGCTGAGTAGGAACTTGACCAAGTTCCTTTTTAAATAAAATACCTGATTTTCCTCTCTTTCTTCACCTCAACAATCACCCACATAACAGGCTTTGTTTCTGGCCTGAAATCTTACCTTGGCTCCAATCCTTCTCACTGAGTTAGTGGATTTTCAGCTGCATTGAGAACTACTTCTTGAAGACAGGCTTTCACCTTTTAAGATTCATCCCGCAACACCTCCATTTTTACAGCTCTGGACACCAGTATCTTCTGGAGGACCTCTCCAGACCCTTCTGGAGGACCTACCTAGACCCTTAGATTTTCTTTTGAAGCCCTTTTCCAGGTCTCCAATCTGAGGAAGATTTGGAGAGCGGTGGCAAGAAAGGGTCTTTTCAGCTGTGGCTCCCCATCTGTGGAATGCTCTCCCCAGCCAGCGCCCTGGCAAGGCCTTAGCTCTCCTGACAGATGATTTAGTCTGGAACCACAGTGTGGAAATAAAGGATGAGATTGCCCACCAGATACCAAGCACTCTACTATTCAAATTAGGCCCCAGTGTTTTTCTTACAATCCCCTTCTCGATGTGCCTGATTTGAATTAATCCATTTTAATCTAGCATGTAAATTCTCGAAACTTTCTTATTTTAACATTCAACCATTTTTGTAACATCTTGTTTGTTCTCAGTAACCAAAATTGCATTAGCAACATATACAAGCAGAAAAGTTATTCTCCCATTTTGTTGCTTTTTCCATGAGACATCAGTTGAATTGGACCACATATATCAGTATGAATAAGTTGCCAAGGCTCTGCTGAACTTTTCTCACTTTCCTTCCCTAACAAACAACTTTCACATATTTCACTATTCAGGCCAACTTTACAAGGCTTCATTTCCATTCCTCTCACCAAACCTTTCTTTGGCCTACTTATAAATCCTGAAGCCTCCATGTCTAAACCTTCTGTGCCACAGATGAACACAGGTTGCACTTGAATTTTTCTTGACCATATTCACTTGTTCTTGACCTGTATCTAGCACAAAGACTCCATTATTTTCAAAACCTTGTGCATACAAAACTCCATCTTTGGTAACTGCACATTTGCTGTGATTAAAATTTACATTAAAACCATGCTTGGTCAGGGTTGGCACGCTCAGCAAACTGTCTGTCAATTCAGGCAAGTAAACTACATCTCTCACTTCATTACAAACAGTATTTCTACCTGCAACACACTTGAGCAAACCTGCTCCTTTTCCTTGCACAGATATTTTGTTGCCGTTTGCAACTGTACCTGTCTCTGATGAGTTTTCATTTAACACTCTGGAAAAATTAGCATCACACATCATGTGCATGGAAGCTGCTGAATCAATTAACCAACTAGAAGGGTTACTGTTAATACCACCAGTTTTCCTATAACTTGATATTGCTAGATAGTTAAGATAAACTGCAAAAGCATTTTTCATTTGCTTTCTGTTGCCACCCTGGAACGTTTCTTTATCAGTGCCACTTTGTTTTGTACAATTCCTTGCAAAATGTCTTATTTTTCCACATGAGAAGCATCTAGTTTTGTCATTTTTGTCTGTACCTTGAAAAGCGGTTTTATTTCTAAAGCGCAAGCCCCACCCACCAGATACCAAGCACTCTACTATTCATATTAGGCCCCAGTGTTTTTCTTACAGTAGCACCCTCAGGAGTGCCTCTTTTCATGCCCCCACCTCTGCCAGAGAAGCGGTACCAGTATAGGTGCTGATTTCCTGCTGGTTTTCTGCAAGATCTTGTGGGATCTCATCAACATCTTGCAAGATATCAAGGAGAGCAAAAGATCTCAAGAGATTTGGGCGAGATCTTAAAAGCTCTTTCAGGGAATCAGCACCAAAGTCAGCAGTACAATGCTGGTACAGCAGCCCCTCCAAGTGCCCCTGTTTTCCAGTGATGCACATGATTTAGAGAAGCTGTCCCAGTTTATGATTTCATCCCGGAATGTCCTGCTTTTCCTTAAAGGTAAAGGTAAAGGGACCCCTGACCATTAGGTCCAGTCGTGGCCGACTCTGGGGTTGCGGTGCTCATCTCGCTTTATTGGCCGAGGGAGCCGGCATACAGCTTCCGGGTCATGTGGCCAGCATGACTAAGCCACTTCTGGCGAACCAGAGCAGCACACAGAAACGCCGTTTACCTTCCCGCCGGAGCGGTACCTATTTATCTACTTGCACTTTGACGTGCTTTCAAACTGCTAGGTTGGCAGGAGCAGGGACCGAGCAACCGGAGCTCACCCCGTCACGGGGATTCGAACCGCCGACCTTCTGATCGGCAAGTCCTAGGCTCTGTGGTTTAACCTACAGCGCCACCCGCGTCCCTGCTTTTCCTTAGGATGTCCCTATTTTTATTGGAGAAATGTTGGAGGGTATGGAGTTGTCTGACCCCCCCAAGTGGTCTGAAGGCAATCTTGTATAGGGAAGTTTTTGGTTTTTTTAAGTGTTTAATGTTTTATTGTGTTTTTGTTGGAAGCTGCCCAGAGTGCTGGGGCAACCCAATAAGATATGTGGGTATAAGTAGTAAAATTATCATTATGCAATGGAATGTCCCTGTTTTCATCAGAGAAATGTTGGAGGGTATGGTACAGCTCAAGTGCCACTGGCAGATGGTGGTGAGTGTCCTATGGGTGGTGATGTGGCAGAGCAGGGTGGCAAAATGGGACCCCTGACCTCAGGATTCCAGAATTTACAGCTTACACTTCTGACAGAAGGCAGGCAAGGGCCCACAGCGCAGGTGGGGCTTGTTAGCTTGGGGAGGAGGTGTGTGATTCCTCAGCTGGAGAAGGCTCAGGTGAGGGTCAGATGCCTTGTCAAGCCAGAAGGTATAGCAGGAAAGCCGTCCTGGCCAGGCCTGCATCTTCTGGTCAGGCCCCACAGGTAAATTATCTACCGAAGAAAATTCCATGAAGAAGGCACTCCCACCGGAAAGGTCCTGCCATTTGTCCCAGACTAGTTGCCCTGACATCAGATTACTTGGAAGAAAGAAAGAAAAAGGTATATCTTATTACTGTAGTTTACAGGTTGACTCACAGAATTGTAGAGTTGGAAGGGGCTTGCAAGGCTCATCTAGTCCAACCCGCTGCAGAAATCTCAGCTAAAGTATCCATGACAGGTGATTCATATGGGAAGAGTATTATTTCCAATATAGACAAAAGTAGCAACTCGGACAGAATTAGGTCCTCACCTATCAAGGTCACTGGCAAAATGTCACATTCATAGCATTTCATTATCGTATCCGGGACCTTGGAAGTCCTTGAAAATAATAATCTCCCCCCAATCTACAGCAATCTACCATCATGAGAAGAGATGTTTGGATGCCTAGTCTCTCTATTTATATCAGGACCTTTAATAATAGCCCCATCATCTTTTTCTTCCACATCTGCAACCTTCTATCTGATTCTTTTGCTATTCGATACATATTAACATTATCATTCTCACCAGTAATTTCCTTAACCAGTGCCAGC